TAGTTTTTTGTATTTTTAGTAGAGACGGGGTTTCACCGTGTTAGCCAGGATGGTCTCGATCTCCTGACCTCGTGATCTGCCCATCTCGGCCTCCAAAAGTGCTGGGATTACAGGCTGAGCCACCGCGCCCGGCCTATAAATATCATATACACCATAAGATATACAGTAAAAGGTAAAGGTATAGAACTTTATTCTCACACATAGTCTAGCAGCATACTTAGAGATGAAGTCAAAAAGAAAATTTTTCATGAAAAAAATTAAAAAGCTTTTGCCACCATGTTTAACCTTATCTGAGATGGTTTAACTCTTAGAATGTATCAGAGAAAAATTTATGTGTAGATGGCTGGTACATAAAAATGCTAATTGGGATACATATGAGAATCATAGTTAACATTTACTAAACACTTACTTCGTTCCAGACATTATTTCAAGTTTTTTATATGGATTAACAAATCAATTGCTATGAGATAGCATTTTATTGTCCTCACCTTATATCCAAGGAATTGAGGCACAGAGATAACATGCCCAAATGTCAAGTTAATAGTGACTGGTTAAAAATGGTCTGGCTCCAAGTCCATGTTTTTAACCACTAGGCAAAGAAGGTTGCACAAATACATGCCATATACTTATAGATTCTGGGAGGAGGGTAAGATTCAGGTAGAGGATTGTAGTTATCTGGTAGTTTTAAATTATTGACATGAATGTATAAACTTGCATAATTTAAAAAAATTTTATATCTCATAAACTTAGTCAAACCTTTTACTGGGCTTTCTGTAGAATCCCATTTCTTTAAGAAGGTCTTACTCTGTTGCCCAGGCTGGAGGGCAGTGGAATGATTATACTTCGCTGCAGCCTCAGTTCCCTGGGCTCAAGCAATACTCTCACCTTAGCCTCCCAGGTAGCTAGCCATCACACCTGGCTTTTTATTTATTTATTTATTTTTTGGTACAGATGAGGTCTTGCTATATTGCCCAGGCTTGTCTAGAATTCCTGGTCTCAGCCAGGTGCAGTGGCTCACGCCTATAATCTCAGCACTTTGGGAGGCACATCCCAGCACAAGGAGGGCAGATCACCTGAGGTCAGGAGTTTAAGACCAGCCTGGCCAACACCATGAAACCCCGTTTCTACAAAAATTAGCCAGGGGTTGTGGCAGATGCCTGTAGTCCCAACTAGTTAGGAGGCTGAAGCAAGAGAATTAATTGCTTGCACCCGCGAGGCAGAGGTTGCAGTGAGCTGAGATCACACCACTGCACTCCAGCCTGGGTGACAGAGCAAGACTCCATCTCAAAACTAAATAAATAAATAAAAGAATTCCTGGCCTCAAGTCATCCTCCCACCTCAACCTCCCAAAGCAGAATTATATTTGATTACCACCAGACACACATCTGCACTTGCTCAAATGAACGGGATCCCCGTGGTGGGACAAACATAGCAAATGATAGCATTTGGAGAAAAAGAAGGGGTAGATAATTATTCTTGACAGGTCATGACAGATATGAGCTCTATCTTGCCACCAATAAGTTTCAAGACCTATCCTAGACTTGTTTTAGTATGGTTGCTGGTCTTTAGGTCCCATTTTAACTTCAAATATGGCTGTGTCCCCTTATAGCTTAAGTTAATTCGTGGTACTAAAAAATTCACAAGGTTAAGATGAAAGTAAGCGGTGAAAGTTCAGAATGGAGTAAGACAAACAGTAACTGATCAGTTACCCTCATAGTATGCCAACCTCAGCCACACATAATACTATTATTACAAATAGCTTTCATTAATAATGTTTTAGTACAGTTTTTATTTCTTACCCATTAAACAAGTTTTTTCCATCTTCTTCCATATTATTCCACAGTCATTGGTTAGGTTTCCTCTTCTCTATTACCTACAAGTGGGAAACCATCTGTAAGGCTGGGCTAATACACGGCAAGAAAAAAGCAATTTCATGAATTGTAATTACAAATTCAAAAAAGGACCAGTATATTACAATGCACTAAACTCCCGACAAGTCCTTAAAACTGATGTAAGAGTGAAAAAAACTGATCTTTCTTTTTAGCTAAGAGTAACCGAAGAGTCAGTCACTTATGGGTAGACTGATCAATGGAAGTATTAAACGTTTACTTCCTGAAAAACGCACTTCTGCATTTGTTTTAGGTCTTAAAAATTACACATTATATTTGCATACAATCTGAAACTCAGAAAAGAAACACACAAATTCATGGTAACAAAAATACCTGAATATCAAAAGCTAAAATTATTTTAGCGTAAGTGAAATATAAAATAACAAGATGGCATGAGGTGACTCTTTTGTGCTAAGTGGGTTTATGACCTATATGTAAGCGGCATGCTTCTTTAAAAGCAGCATATATTCTGTACACAAGGACAATATATTAGCCAAAGACATCTAGAGTTTATGATTTGGACAAATTACATGTATAAGAATGTTTAAGGTTTCTGACACTTTTTCAGGAAGCAGGACTCAGTATTAAGCTTGAGATCGGCAAGCTGGGCCACCACTGTAAGAGGAAAGAAGATTCTCTATTGTGTCACCCTAACAGCTAACACAGATTTCCTCTTGGAAGAAACTTTAAGAAAATATGTTCCCAGCCAGGCGCCCGCCGCCTTGTCTGGGAAGTGAGGAGCGCCTCTGTGCGCCTGCTGTGCAACCCTCCAAGTGTGAAGTGACAGCCTTATGTGTTATCTTTCTGCCCTTAACAAGTTTGCATTATCGACATTAAAATTTACTTTTTAATCAAAAGTTTTATAATTGGAGAATATATATTTTTTAAAAAAAAAAAAGAAAAAAGACAATATGTTCCCGGCTGGGTGCGGTGGCTCATGTCTGCAATCCCAGAACTTTCGGAGGCCAAGACGGGCGGATCATGAGGTCAGGAGATCAAGACAATCCAGGCTAACATCTTGAAACCCCATCTCTACTAAAAATACAAAAAAAAAAACAACATAGCAGGGCGTGGCGGCAGGCACCTGTGGTCCCAGCTACTCCGGAGGCTGAGGCAAGAGAATAGTGTGAATCCGGGAGGCAGAGCTTGCAGTGAGCTGAGATCATGCCACTGCACTCCAGCCTGGGCGGCAGAGTGAGGTCCATCTCAAAAAAAAAAAAAAAAGAAAAGAAAATATGTTCCCATAATATGGGCTCCCATCACTCATGTACAGTTCCCTTGGAGTAGGTGGTTCGCTGCAGAGTGGCTGGCTGTCAAGATCCTAGAATGGTTGTCAAGAAAGGGAAATTGCTCTGCATTAGACAGGGAAGAATTCAGTTTTATATCGCTGAAAGGAATGGGGAGAAGAATGAGGAGGAGAGGGAAAGAATAAGAAGAAAAGAGTTAGTATAATGGAGCAGAGCTGGGATTAGGTGGGGGTGAAGCTCTTGGGTCAAGGGAGGTCTGAAAACATTTTAAGAACAGGAATGTTTTACTAGGGAAGTTGTTTACATTAATGCAAAGTAAGGCTCACTCCACCTCTATTTTGCCCCTTTCTTCAGGTAGGTACACATAATCTGCAAATGCCCTGTGTGAATAGTGCCTTTCTGAAAATCAAAGAGGGAGCCAAGTTTCACATGTGGGTGCACTATGGTGCAAATCAGTGGCATGAGGCCAGAAAGTAGGTCCCAGGAAGCATGAGGTTACAAGATCATGAAACCCAGCAAATAAATATTTTTAGGGAAAGCTTACAACTTCTAGTTCTAGGTTGGGGGTTCTGAGGCAACCATATCCATGAAAAGCTAAGCTGACACTTTATGGATAGGGGTTTCACATCCATAAAATGTCCCTCAAATGACTCTACGTTCAATATAAGAACACCAAAAAATTTAAAGTTAACTTAATTACATTTAAAACCAAGTTATTCCAATTAATTTGGGATGCTCCCCCAAAGCTGACTATAATAATCAGTTCCTTACCAAGTAGCACCTAGGATATGTACGTAACCATATGGAGTTTAGGCTTAAAGCCCTAGGCAAGTTATATTAATAAATGTGAAGATTAGCAACTTCAATAATTACGATGGTAATCTTGAACACTGGGAAATTATAATAAATCAGCTCAATGCTGAAAACTATTAATAAGATTCCACAGTTCAAATATTTTCTATCCAGGTCCCACTTATATCATTTACACTACTGCAATATACTTTTAAATGGGTGGGAACTGAAATTACAGACATAAAACAAATCACTACAGTAGGAACTAACTAAAAATGTGGATGACATCCCTTTAAACAGTCATTAGAAAGGAAGTTCCCAAAGTTAGGAGGCCATATTCCAAGCTTACCTGTTACTGAAACATGCTGAACTCTCAGGGGCTGTCTGGCTCATGCAAGAAAAGAGCACATGATGTGGAGTAACAGAGACCAGTCATCATCATGGTGTCCATTTATTACAAGACCTTCCTTAACTTCTCCGAGCCTGTTTTCTAATCTACTTCACAGCACTGGTGTAAGGAATAAATGAGAACGCAAGTAAAACACCAGTGTACTGCCTGGCACATAGCTGATGATCAACAAAGGTTTAATTCTCTTCCTTTATCTACCTTTGGTTTAAAGCAATTTTCAGGGCTTGAAAAGGAGAAAATCCATTCTTGAAACCTTACCCAATTTACTCTTATTCTGCCAAATAATAACAATGATGATGATGGTGATGATTATTATTATAGCCAGCAACACTGATAACAGTGTTTAATGTGTGCCAGAAACACAGTTAAGTGCTGTTACATATATTAACAAATTCAATCCTCACAACAACTGTGAGGTAGATATTTTTATTCCAATTTTACAGATGAGGAAACTGTGGCATACATAAGTTCCACAGCTAATAAGTGGCAAGGCAAGGATTCAAACCCAGGTTTCTGCTCTTTAGAAATATACCAGGCTGGGAGCAGTGGCTTACATCTGCAATCCCAGCACTTTGGAAGGCCAAGACAGGAGGATTACTTGAGCCCAGGAGCTTGAGACCAGTCTAGGCAACACAGGGAGACCCTACCTCTACAAAAAATAATTTGCTGTGTGTTTTGGCATAAGTCTGTAGTCCCAGCTACTTGGGAGGCTAAGACAGGAAGATCACTTGAGACCAGGAGGTCAAGGCTGCAGTGAGTTGTGTGTGATTGTACCACTGCACTCCAGCCTGAGTGACAGAGTGACACCTTGTTGAAAGAAAGAAAGAAAGAAAGAAAGAAAGAAAGAAAGAAAGAAAGAAAGAAAGAAAGAAAGAAAGAAAGAAAGAAAGAAAGAAAGAAAGGAGGGAGG